TGTTTGTATAGTTCTCCCAAGTATCTTTTTACGTGCAATAGTTGTTTGTTTAGTTGTAATAGTTATCTCCTGACATAAACAAGTTGTTTGTATAGTTCTCCCAAGTATCTTTTTACGTGCAATAGTTGTTTGTTTAGTTGTAATAGTTATCTCCTGACGTCCGCAGTTGCTTTTTTAGTTCCCACAATTATGTGTGTACGTACGATAGTTGTCTGTTTAGTTGTGATCTATCTGCTTACGTTTGATTGTTGTATGTTTAGTTATCAGAGTTATCTGTTAACGCACACAAATTGTTTGTTTAGTTCAAAGTTATTAGCTTGCTTACGTTACTTGCATTTTGAGTCCAGAAAATTATATGTTGACGTTGCTTAGGTATTTGTTATGTGTTGAATTGTGACGATTATTTACTTACACAGGATAATTTTTCTGTTAAATTGTATCAATTATATGCTTATGTTTGATAATTTTCGATTTTTTAATTTTGACAAATGTTTTTCTGAACATTGACAGTCTGTCTTTAGGTGTCACAATTATCTGTTTACGTACAATAATTCTGTGTTTAGTTCTAACAATGAAGTTTGTATGTAAGCTAATTGTTAATTTAGTTGTGGAAATAACCGCTTTACGTACTATTAACTCAAACATTTGCATGTTACTTTTGATGTATGTTTTCATTACGCTCGTTTACTTGTGATAATTATATTAACGTTATTACAATTGTTCGTTTACCAACGATCGTTGTATGTTCATTAAGTGTATAGTTTAAAATCCCATAGTACTTTCTTGTATACATCCTAATTGTGGTTGTTTACAAATGCGTTTTATCCTGATTTATTATGACAGTTGTTGATTTTCTTTCTCTTCTGAAATTGTTTACTTTTTTTCTGAGAATAGTGTATGTTAGGAAGACACCTGTTAGAGTATGTAAGGAAGACATCTGTTAGTGTAGGTAAGAAAGACATCTGTTAGTGTATGTAAGGAAGAGAGCTGTTAGTATATATAAGGAAGACATCTGTTAGTGTATGTAAGGAAGACATATGTTAGTGTATGTAAGGAAAACATCTGTTAGTGTATGTAAGGAAGACATTTTTTAGTGTATGTAAGGAAGAGAGCTGTTAGTATATATAAGGAAGACATCTGTTAGTGTATGTAAGGAAGACATATGTTAGTGTATGTAAGGAAAACATCTGTTAGTGTATGTAAGGAAGACATTTTTTAGTGTATGTAAGGAAGACACCTGTTAGTGTATGTAAGGAAGACACCTGTTAGTGTATGTAAGGAAGACACCTGTTAGTGTAGGTAAGAAAGACATCTGTTAGTGTATGTAAGGAAGAGAGCTGTTAGTATATATAAGGAAGACATCTGTTAGTGTATGTAAGGAAGACATATGTTAGTGTATGTAAGGAAAACATCTGTTAGTGTATGTAAGGAAGACATCTTTTAGTGTATGTAAGGAAGACACCTGTTAGTGTATGTAAGGAAGACACCTGTTAGTGTATGTAAGGAAGACACCTGTAAGTGTATGTAAGGAAGACACCTGTTAGTGTATGTAAGGAAGACACCTGTTAGTGTATGTAAGGAAGACACCTGTTAGTGTATGTAAGGAAGACACCTGTTAGTGTATGTAAGGAAGACACCTGTTAGTGTATGTAAGGAAGACACCTGTTAGTGTATGTAAGGAAGACACCTGTTAGTGTATGTAAGGAAGACACCTGTTAGTGTATGTAAGGAAGACATCTGTTAGTGTATGTAAGGAAGACACCTGTTAGTGTATGTAAGGAAGACACCTGTTAGTGTATGTAAGGAAGACATCTGTTAGTGTATGTAAGGAAGACACCTGTTAGTGTATGTAAGGAAGACACCTGTTAGTGTATGTAAGGAAGACACCTGTTAGTGTATGTAGGAAGACATCTGTTAGTGTATGTAAGGAAGACACCTGTTAGTGTATGTAAGGAAGACACCTGTTAGTGTATGTAAGGAAGACATCTGTTAGTGTATGTAAGGAAGACACCTGTTAGTGTCTGTAAGGAAGACACCTGTAAGTGTCTGTAAGGAAGACACCTGTTAGTGTATGTAAGGAAGACACCTGTTAATTTTCAACCACAGTCCAAACCCAAAAGTTGGTATTTATTGTAAAGCGACTTCCCTGTCTGGGTTAAAGGGTCCCATCGTGGGGGACAACAACAACAACAACAACAACAACAACAACAACAACAACAAAAGATCCCTGCCTCCCCAACAAGCATGTTGTACAAATCGACTATTAGAGACTTTCTTTGAAGTCGGAGTGCATCTGCCCCAGCGGCAAGACAAAATCTATCTGCACACAACTAGACCAGTAAAACGGATGTACACACACAACTGAGGCCACGGCACAAAGCCACACTCCAAATGGACGGACAACCGGGTCTTTCCGCCGTAGCTTACAGTCGGTGAGCAAAGAAGAAGAAGAAAGAAGAAGAAGAAAAAAAAAAGAAGAAGGAGCAGAAGAAGAAGAAGAAAGAAAGAAGAAGAAGAAGAAGAAGAAGAAGAAGAAGAAGAAGAAGAAGAAGAAGAAGAAGAAGAAGAAGAAGAAGAAGAAAAAGAAGAAGAAAAAGAAGAAGAAGAAGCAGCAGCTGCAGTAGTAGTAGTAGTACAGCGACTATACATATTTTGTATAACATTATGATGAAAGATGCTTGTTTGAAATTTGCTATTTTTGTAAATGTGTGTCCAGTGTTAAAATTAACTTCATGTAAACAATTATATTTCATGGTGAAAATAATAATTAGCATTATTACTTCTGTCCATACCAGGCGTATTATATCGTTGGCTTTTTAACACTCATCTAAACACCAAAATCGCAGAGTACGATTGATAACTTTCGATATTTGGTCACCCAAAGAGATTTTACAGCAGAAAGTCTGAGAGAAAGGTGACAGGAAGACCAAGAAAGAGATGGATAAATCGTGTGGGAGAAACCTGTAAAAAGATGAACAAATGTATCACTTAAGCCACTCGAGATGCGCAAGACAAATACAAAAACCACGACACTGGGCCACAACCTGGTGAGACGGACAAAAAACCCAGAAATTCACCCAAAAAAAAAAAACTTTGCTGGCTCAAGGTTCATTTCTAAATGTTTCAGAGAAGGGAATTCACTGCTATAGTTTCAAAATAATTATTTTGTTGTTGTTTTTGTTGTTGTCGTTGATAATCTCGACCGAAAACTCTTGGGATAAAAAAATACAATAATTATTATTGCCAATAATAAAAAAAAAAAAAAAAATAATTAGAAAAAAAGGACAAAAAGAAAAAAAAAAATTATTTAAAACGGTTATAACACAGTTATAAACCACACGTGCTCTGCCACTAATACGAACAGCTGATAAGAAAGCGTCCGACTATATCGCCGTCGGCACGTAACTCCGTAGTTACAGCCACGTTCCTCCATTTACCCCAGAGTGTTAACTCTGGTTCTCATTTCCTAGAGGCTGTGTGAACCCCGAGAACCGCCCGGTTTCGAACACTGACATTGGGCTGCAGCGAAGAAACAAAAAAAAAAAAAAAAAAGAACATAAAGAAAGATATAGATAGAAGAGCGAGTGACTGAGTGCTAAAGTCGAGGGGAACGGCTTCATTGTCCCAGGTTAAATCTCATATGGCCCAGTGTCTCTCCAGAGAGGGGCCAGCCACATATCAAGAGCATCGCACAAAGTAGGAATTCTGTAGCTCCGGCGATGTTCCATCTGGATCTCCGTAAATATTGCACTTGTGAACCGAACAACGCGTCTGTGAAAGGACCCATGAATTTCAGAATCTGAGGCAAATGATTTGACCACTTCACCACGAAGTGAGTGAGTGAGAGAGAGAGAGAGAGAGAGAGAGAGAGAGAGAGAGAGAGGGAGAGAGAGAGAGAGAGAGAGAGAGAGAGAGAGAGAGAGAGCACAACAAACAAGATAACAGTTTTTTTTATCAAAAATGAATACAAATTCTGTCCACAAATGAGAGTTCAGAAATACGAGACCTAGTTAATGATGCCACTTCTTACAGTTGTCTAGTTGCGACATTCTGAAACCCTTTCCATTACCAGTCGCTGTCATGTAGACTCTGTATATATTTCTTATGCCATTCTCGAAAATGACAACTGTTACCTATAGTTGCGTCTAGCGACCATATAACTCCTCTTATTAGTTGTCAGCCAAGCAGATGGCGTTTCCAAAATGATTGTATTAGACTGGTTAGCTGTAACAGATCTTCAACATTCTCTGTTAAGTGGGTCAATATGATGGATAGTCGGCTTACTGTTTTTGCTTGTGACAAAATCTTGCTTCTGGCAATTGTTGGCTACTACATTTTTTTTACTCATATATATCCAACAAGCCAGCCAACCAACCAGTCACCGAACTGAATTTTCGAATCAACGAATCTGTTAACCAGCTGTCCGATAAATCAATTGAATTTACAAGTATACCAACTAGTCAATCAGCTAAACAGTCAATCAACCAATTAAACCAACCAATGGATTAACCAGTCATTCAATCAACAACATATCAACTAAACATTCAACCAGCCAACCAAACATGTAGTTAACCAACCAACTAATCAGTTAGTCAATCAACAAATAAATCAGACAAACAACTAAATCAACCATCCAACTAGTCAGATAAACAAGCAGCCAACCAATGAACCAACCAATCAACAACCCACCATTTAACAGGCCAACCAGCCAACAGACCAATCAGTCGAGCTGTCAACCAGTCGACGAATCCACTGATGAGTTAACCAGCCAACCAACTTATCAGTCGATCAACAAACCAACCCGACACACAACTAACCAATCTGCCAGTCAAGCAGTGAATAAACGAACTTGTCAATCAACCAAACAACCAGCCAGTGAACCAATCAACAACCACCAATCAACATAAAGCACAAATATAGTAAACAACAACAACTGGAAGCCTATCAACCAATAAGCAACGAACAAACAACATAAAAAAACCTGCAATAACAATCTTTAATCAAGCAATATTAAGAAGCATATTGATCAACTTGTTCTCCCGTGACTGCTTCTCTGCGTTCTGCCAAGACGATGCTAGCTGCTTCACCACCTCGGAACCAGTACTCCCCTGTTGTCCCTGACTGAGCCCCATTTCTAGATTCCCTAGAGCGCCATCCTCCCCTCGGGAGTATTTCTGCAGCCTTGATATCAGCTGGTTCTTCAGCTGCTGTTCCTGAGTAAGATCCGAACCGGAACGTTTTCCGAAGCGGATGAAATATCTGAAGACACGCCTTCGGCAGGCGTACCGGACACAACGGGACATCTGGGAGGGGTCAGGATCCATTGATTGACAGCCATGACCACACCCTTCTTCATCGTCATCTGCTCTGGCAAATTGTAAGACCAGAGACACAGTAAGAAGAATCGCCAAGAAAATTACACTTTGGTTCGGTGCTTGGCGAGCTATCCGCATTTTTATTTGGATAGCAATTGACTGATAATAAAATAAACTATTTCTTTTTCAATTAGATTACTAAAACTGTTTCCCTTGATTATTACACGTAAATTATTTACAGTTTGTTTAGTGTGCTTCTAGAATGCTTAAAGTTCCTCAAAAATTATTTTCTTTGTTTAAAATTGTCTGTATCAAATTATTTTTGTTTTCGTTGTTTAATTTTCCTCTCTTTTATCAGATCTTTATTGTAACTATATCTATAACGGTTCTGCTTAAAATAGTAAATTCTTTAAAATGCTAAATCGCATAAATCCTTTCCTAACTTAAAAAATGTACAATTCAAATAGCTACTTTTCGAAACAACACACTTATGAATCTCTTTGAGCGGGCTCCACGCGGTGTTATTAACAAATTAACTGTTAAAAAATACACACGTTTTTTAAATGGCTGCGAATGCTTTAAACAACGCTCACTTTTAAACAAACGACAATTGCCTGAAACGCAATTAAATAAATACGATCACATAGAATGGAAGAACTTTTCAAACGAAAGAATGAGTCTTTCAGCGGATGTGAAGAGATCAAGCGGTTTCTTGCAAAGCGCTTGCAGAAGAACGTCTTCCAGTCTTGTTAGACACACCAAGTAGTTTTTTTTAAGATAAGAGAGAGTAGTCAAGCTGACTTCTAAAGTTGCTGTGTGGTTTCAAAGTTGCTGTCCAAAAGTATTGTCTCTTAAATATTGTTTTCTTCCAAAATGATTGTCCAATGCCGCGTTGTAGTGGTCAGTGCTGTGAAATAGCTAGTTACTGCTGTCTTCCTGTTCAGTTGGTCTGAAACGAAAGGGAAGAAAAAGAAAGCAATTAATAATTATTGTATCTTTGGATTGGGCATTGGGAACGCGCTTCGTAATGCCTGGTTGTCGGATTCGATCCCAGCTTTGTGTCTTGCGTTGGATTTGACTGTGGTATCGAGAAGCCGACCGTCAAGAAAGCAATAGCAAACTACTGGAAGTAAGCTTGCCTAGAAAAACAACAACAGCAAAAATTGCTGTATGTGGTTCTGCAACGTCCTGTGAAGGATACGCAACTAACTAATATAGAGAGCTGACCGTTAACAGCGAAATAACTGAAATAACCTAGTGGAATCATAAACAGGCAAAATATTATGGCGTAGGTTCTTCAACGTCCTTTACGGTAAACAATGTTAACTTGATGCATCATCAAACGGACAAAACTCCTAGAATGGATAGTAGACGTAAAGATGAGGGGATTGATTTCATAGCACCCGATTTTATCAGATGTGGCCAAGTCTCTCTCCGCAAAACAGCCGGCTGCCTGTCCAGAGCGTCGCGCAGATGCACGACCTCCGTAGCTTCGGCGTTGATAGACAGGAATCTCTATAATAATTGCACTCGGGAACTGAAACGAATTAACGACCTTCAGAGGGCACGAAAAACGGTCGACCCCTTCGCCACAGAGGAAGGGATCCTCCCCCCCCCCCCCCCCCAGAATGGATGGTGAGAAGCAACAATTAGTTTCCTTGTCTGTTTGAATACGCCACAGGGGTTGATGGCAACTAACTGTAATAGTTTTGTCGGTTGGGTAAAAGAAAAAGTGGGTGGGGGGAGGGGTCAAATCTTGTGCCTGGGCTCGTGTCACGGATGCGTCGTCCGGTTCGCCAGTGCAATTTTTATGAAGACCGATCGTAACTGGAGCTGAGGAATTCGTTCTTTGTGTAACACTTTCGTCGCCAGGCGGCTAGCAGTTCTGCGGAAATAGACCGAAACATGCCGGAAAAACTAATCAAGAAAAAAGAAATCTAAAGTTGATAATAATGATGCTGTTGACGTACTAGTGATGCTGAACAACAAATACATTCTCCCTCAGTGATTCTCCGGGTTTTGGATTGTTTGAGACAGAGGTTTCCACTTTTCTCGAGGTGGCACCCCCTAAAATATATTGCAGCAAACCCCTTCTGCCACCCACCCAAAATGGAATTAACAGAAGAGTACACACTCACTTTCTCTCTCTCTCTCTCTCTCTCTCTCTCTCTCTCTCTCTCTCTCTCTCTCTCTCTCTCTCACACACACACACACACACACACACACAATGCGCAGTAATGTTAACAAGAACTTGGAGAAAAACACCTACATATTTCAAAGCTTCAAATTAAAAAAAAACAAGACAATATTACCAACAACTGGTAATTCAGTGTCCAAATATCAATGTGATGGTTGAAGATATCTGCTATTTTTGGTCTGGTATTCGACAAGGCACAACTCAATCACTCTCCTCATCAAGCTGGCAGCTCTATTATGTTTTCATGACTCTTACAAGCTGAAAATCTGTATTAATACACACACAAGAGGATTCAATTTCCAAATTTATGGAAACTTCCTCATGCCGCTTATATTACTCCTCTCCCAAAAACCATGACCACCAGCACCACCACCACCACTAGCACCCTCATCACCAGCCCCAGCACCACCACTACCACCACCACCACCACCACCACCACCACCACCACCAAGTTGGAGACCACTGGTTTAGGAAATTACTGGCTTGATATGAACAAATATGTAATCACTCGCGTCTGCCTACCCGAAGACGCGGATAGTGTGTATAGCCATCTTATCGTGTCGGATTACTTTCGTCAACCACTGTCTGCATTTCTGGTAGCGACTGTTGGATTTGGCGCCTCTAGCAACTGCCATATGCATTTGCTGGGTGTGTCAATTTTTGGATTGCACCGGGACTAATTGTTTGTGCGCCAGTTTTTCAAATGCGACAGTGAGGAACATTTAATTTCATTTGCATTGGCACAGGAACTGAGCAAGTATGGGGAAACATGATTGCAGTGAAGTTGAAATCTCGACTAAGACAAAGACTAAGACAAAGACTAAGACAAAGACGAAGACAAAGACTAAGACAAAGACTAAGACAAAGACTAAGACGAAGACTAAGACAAAGACAAAGACTAAGACAAAGACTAAGACAAAGACTAAGACTAAGACTAAGACAAAGACTAAGACAGACAAAGATTAAGACAAAGACTAAGACTAAGACTAGGACAAAGACTGAGACAAAGACGAAGACAAAGACTAAGACTAAGACAAAGACTAAGACAAAGACTAAGACTAAGACAAAGACTAAGACAAAGACTAAGACAAAGACTAAAACAAAGACTAAGACAAAGACTAAGACAAATACTAAGACTAAGACAAAGACTAAGACAGACAAAGACAAAGACAAAGACTAAGACAAAGACAAAGACAAAGACTAAGACAAAGACTAAGACAAAGACTAAGACAAAGACTAAGACTAAGACTAAGACAAAGACTAAGACTAAGACAAAGACTAAGACAAAGACTAAGACAAAGACTAAGACTAAGACAGAGACTAAGACAGACAAAGACTAAGACAAAGACTAAGACAAAGACTAAGACAAAGACTAAGACAAAGATTAAGACAAAGACTAAGACAAAGACTAAGACAAAGACTAAAACAAAGACTAAGACAAAGACTAAGACAAAGACTAAGACAAAGACTAAGACTAAGACTAAGACAAAGACAAAGACAAAGACTAAGACAAAGACTAAGACAAAGACTAAGACTAAGACAAAGACTAAGACAAAGACTAAGACAAAGACTAAAACAAAGACTAAGACAAAGACTAAGACAAAGACTAAGACAAAGACTAAGACAAAGACTAAGACAAAGACTAAGACAAAGACTAAGACAAAGACTAAGACAAAGACTAAGACTAAGACAAAGACGAAGACTAAGACAACGACTAAGACAAAGACTAAGACAAAGACTACGACAAAGACTAAGACAAAAGACTAAGACAGACAAAGACTAAGACAGACAAAGACTAAGACTAAGACAAAGACTAAGACAAAGACTAAGACAAAGACTAAGACAAAGACTAAGACAAAGACTAAGACAAAGACTAAGACAAAGACTAAGACAAAGACTAAGACAAAGACAAAGACTAAGACAAAGACTAAGACAAAGACTAAGACAACGACTAAGACAAAGACTAAGACAAAGACTAAGACTAAGACAAAAGACAAAGACCAAGACAAAGACTAAGACAAAGACTAAGACAAAGACTAAGGCTAAGACAAAGACTAAGACTAAGACAAAGACAAAGACTAAGACAAACAACGACTAAGACAAAGACTAAGACTAAGACTAAGACTAAGACAAAGACTAAGACAAAGACAAAGATTAAGACAAAGACTAAGACAAAGAATAGGATTAAGATTAGGAGTAAGACTCAGACTAAGACTAACAAAAGACAGACTAAGATTAAGACTAAGACTCAGAGTAAGACTCAGACTAAGACTAACAAAAGACTCAGAATATGACCGTTTTCTTGTCACTGTGAATTGTTGGTAATATCTTGCTGGATATTAGATTAAATGCAAAATGAAACGTTAAATGTGACAACAAGAAAACTCAACATAAGTGATGGAAAAAAGACGTATGACTACAACAGAACGTTTGTGACAAGGCGCAGTCAGATAGACTGGCTCGTTCCGCGCCACTTGGTGGTGAATTGATAAATGACAAGCTAGATGACTGAGTGCCTTTTAGGAGCTAGTGAACAGTACGTAGACACAAACAGATCATTACCAGGTTACCAGGGTATCTGGCAGACGCTCAACACAAAGGCGAGACAGATGTACAACCAAACAGTTAATAGTGCCACGGAAACGGGAACTCTTTGCTTGCTGCTAAAGATGGTAACGGCGCGCTTAAAAAGGGTGTCGCGAGTGCTTTGATGTCTATTTTTGATTCATTATCCAACATAATTCATAATTCAATTCTAACAAAGTCTTTATCAGCGGAGTACTATGTATAACACAAAACTGTGACTGGAGTTTATTTTAATGTTGAAGATCAGGCGGCATTAGATGGCTGGTAAGACTTTCTACACTTTCTATGATATATCATCGTCGTCGTCATCATCATCAGTGTCATCATCGTAATATTCTCACTCGTCCTTATCATT